TCACAGCATCAGAAGGAAGATCATTGCCTCTTTAGGGCTTTAAATGAATCTTCTCACAGATTCAAGTCCCAGACCAGCCTGGAGGGAAGTGTAAAAGTTTGTCTTTGTCAGTCCTAACTTGCCCTTTTTGTGTGTTCCCTCCTCCCAAACCACGGTGATGTCTCTCCTCAGTTCCTTCATGTTATTTTGTCCCTAAGCTTGGCAAAATTCACTTCTAGGAAAGGATCTGATGAACTCATTCATATTAATTAAGAAGATTATTGATAGGTTAATGTGTTGTTCCTACCAGGATTTTTTCCACAGATGACAGATCCTTAAGTCAGAAGAATGAATCTTTATGGAATTTCAGGTGTCAGCAGATGAGTTTGAAATAAATTTGGGGGAGGGATAGGCAGTCTTTCTTGGCACTCTTAAAATTAAATTGTGTAGTTAACTGCTTACTCATAAGACAACGCTAATCAAAGCAACGTTAGTTAGAATTACTGTGTGATTATAATTCCAATGTATTGTAAGGCGCTGAGAAAGTAGTTCTTCAATGTTTAAGCAATGGTGTTTGTATTTATTCTTAAAAAATCTTTTTATTTAAGTCAAATATTTCCAAATTGAGATTCCTTCTTCAGTCATTTATTATGCTAACTTTTCATTGCATCCTTACATTTAAGTTGATTAGCATTCCATAGTGTTTGTGTTTTAAAACTTTTATATCAATGTCTGTTGTTGATTCAGAGTTCTATCCTTGAAGATAATTGATTCAAATGAACCTCCAAAGGAATCAAGTTCCTCTGTTTACCTAGACTCATATGCTTGTATAGCTGAATAGGAACTTAGAGGGCTCCTAGTCTAGCCTTCTGCCCTGTGTAGAAATCCCCCCAACAGCATTTCTGACAACAAATACATCTGCTGGGTTTCCTCCACCTACCCACCCCTTGCCATTACTATGAAGTTTGTTACTTCAAAAGCTGTACTGTTCTATTGTTAGACAGGTTTGATTGTTAGGAAGTTTTTCCTTCTATTGAATTTAACTCTGCCTCCTTGTAAGTTCTAATAATCATCCCTAGTTCTGTTCTCTTGAGCCATATAGAATTAATCTGTTCCCTCCATGTAGCATAGCCCTTCAAAAATTTGAAGACAGTGACACCTGTGCTTTCCATGCTATTTTTAAAAAAATTTTCCTAATCAATATTTTTTACTATTGTGAAATGTTATTAAAATAAATTTGAATACCTCACTGGATCCATGACATCATCAGTGGGCCTATTCTGACCACTGATGCACAAAATCCCAGTTTTTAAAAAATCCTTTTTATTATAAACTTGACAAAAGAACATTTCTATATGCAAAGAAGAACAGAAGAGGATTATATATGCAGCTGTGAACTGTGAACTATGAACTGTGATTTTGTTGGACTCAAGTATAAAACTTTATATATTTCTCTTTTAAATTTGATCTTGTTTGATCCCATTATTCTATTCTGTCTGAATCTGTAAATATTGAGTTTGTCATCCAAAATGTTAGCTATCCTCTAGGCTTCATGTCACTTGCAGATTTAACAAGCGTGACATCATTGATTTTATCAAATTAATTGATTAAAGTGTTGAACATCACAAGGTTAAGGACAGATTCCTGGAATATGCTTCTAGAGACCTTTGTCCGGCTTGTCTTTGCCCATTAATGTATGTACTTTGGCTCTGGCCATTCAACTAATTAAATTCCAAGTCTACCTAATTATACTATTACTCAGCCATTCCTCAACCTATTCTACAGTCTCAGTATACCATATCTATAGGATTCTACTGATCCAGTAGTCTAGTTATCTGTCAATTAAAGGAAATGAAAGTTGTCTGGCGTGGCCTAGTCTTGATGAAGCCTTACGATCTTTGAGTGGCTTTTGTTTCCCTTTCTTAAATGCTCAAAATCCATCCTTTAGTAATGTGTTCTAGAATTTGTCCAGGAATAAAAGTCAAGCTCACTTGTTTATGATTTTCAGTTTTTACGCTCTTTCATTTAAAAAGAAATTGGGATACTTGCTCTTTTTCAGGCTTGTGACAGTTTTCCCATTTTCTAAGATTTTTCAGAATTGCTGATAACAACCCAGCAGTCACATTTGCCAGTTCTCTCAATATACTTAGGATATAATTCATCTGGGCCTAGTAACTTGAGCTCTATAAGGGGAAAGAGATGCTTTGTAACTGCCTCCTCACTTTTCTTGGGTTCCACTCTCTCCTAATAATCTTTATCTTGTCTTTTTTAGCCCAAGGAAGAATTTCTTTGGAAAAATAAACAGAAGCAAATCCCGTGTTTCATCTTCCACATGGTCATCATCCTTTAACAAGCCAGTGCATTCTTTGATCCTCTTCTTGCCCACAATATAGCTAAAATAAAACAAGAGAAAACCCCCTTAACATCCATCACCAAATTCAGTTTATTTTGGACTTACTGCTCCTAACATGGTTATTACAGGTCAGATGTCTTGTATTCATCCTCAGTTATTTGGTCTTTTCCATTGTCTATGTATGGTTTTTTTTTAATCTGAGTTTGCTGAGGTGTTCCTTGTTTGTCTGCATGAGTGTATTCAGGCAGCTCTTCTTTCGCCTTTTTGTCAAAATTAACTCTTCTTTTGTCTTCAGAATTGAATGTTTTTCTGAGATTTTACTGTGCCTCTTCAGCCACCTTCTCTAAAATGTTAGGCCATTGGATCCTAGTTATTCCTTCTCTGACCCCTTTGAAGGCTCTCGTCTTCACATCAAGAACACACATTACTAGTTCCTATGGCTTTAACTTCTCTGTCATGAACGCCATCGTGATAAGGTGATCACTTGCTCTGAAAGTTCCTATTATTCCGACTTTGGCAACTAGGTTTTTTTTTTTTTTGGGTTGGTCAGAATCAGGACCGGATAGTAATTCCTCTTGTTTCTTTCTCTGCTTTTTGAAGGAAAAAATCACCATCACCATCATCATCATCATCATCATCATCATCATCATCATCATCATCTGCACAATCACAAATGCTTTAGCTTTCTCAGTCTGATAAATTTAATTTATTAAGTATAAAGGACAGTGCATAAATTACCTCAGTAACTATTGGGTCAGATATGTGAAAATAGGAAATTAGGGCCAGAAGAAGAACAACAGAATAGTAAAACGAGGGAATAGAGGGACTAGAAGTCACTGTGAAGACAAAGAATATCTATGAGGAATGAATCAGCAGGAGAGATGGAAGCACAGATTAGGATCAGAATGAAAAGTTAGTGACACGCTTTGGAGTGGTAGAAAAGCAGGTCTGTAAGACATGAGCACTCCCGTCAGTGGCTATATTGGTGTGTGTTATGGGAGCTGAGAAAATGAATGAATTTGGAGGATACCATTTTTTTTTTAGGCAGTTGGGGTTAAGTGACTTGCCCAGGGTCACACAGCTAGTAAGTGTCAAGTGTTTGGTCTGAGGCCGGATTTGAATTCAGGTCTTCCTGACTTCAGGGCCAGTGCTCTATCCACTGTGCCACCTAGCTGCCCCAAATTACATCCGAGGACACCATTTTCAAGGAAACATCAAAGTAGGATGATGAAGTCACCAAGTATATTAGGCTATGTGGTGGGGAAGAGAGGAAGAGTGTGAGTCAAATATAGAACTCCTTGAGAAAGGAGGACCAGTGATTAGTGAACCAGTAGATGATAACAAGAGAGATTTAGGTAGGACAATACCGAAAGTTGGAGTGAAGGTCTTAGAAATATCTATTTGTAGACATCAAACTTAAGGACCATAGACATCATCTAGTCCAAGTCATTTCCCCTTGTATTGTTGGCTTTGATGTCTTTGCAAGATTCTTTTTTTTTTCTTTGACTTGACTAATACACCTGACCTGCCAATTTTAGGGGCATCCTTGTTCCTGTGGAATCTTTACATTAATATATGTATATATTTATGTGTGTATGTTTATATATATGTGCGTATATATATAATATGTAATTTTTTTTCTGCTAAGTCACCTTTTACCTATTTAACATGCAATTAGATCACATGTTTTTTTTGATCCCTAGTATATGTTTCCAATAAGATGTTTTCAAACATTCACCGGGCAGCCTGTGGTCCATTTACTTTTTAAAGTACCACTCTTAATTTTGTTCCTGACTGTTGGCAGCATGATGTCATAGTTCCATTTTCTACAACTGAGTAACTTCTTGATGAGTTCTCTTGGTTTTCTGTCTCTCACGAAAGTTTTTGTAATGTTACTCATCATATACTGGGGCTCAAAACTGTTTCATTTTCGTTAGAAGTGTTTTTAACATCTCTTCTAAAATACATTTCTCAGAGTATGTTTCCAAAGGCTTCCTCAGTTATCGCATCTGAATTTTATACAAGATCCCCCAGATGCCTGTTTGCCATTGCCCAAATCCATTCCTTTACTCACCACACTATGCTCAGTTCCTGAAGTTCCTGAGACATACTCTCCTACCATCTCAAATCGAATTTTCTTCTGGAAAGCTGGTCTCATACCATCAGCTGCTATCATTCTCTTCCCTGTCTAAGTCCATCTTTTCCCTTCTTATGCACTTGCCATGTTACAATTTGTAATATAACTATTTGTGTACATATTTTATCTTCCCAACTAGACTGTATACTCTTGGAGGGCAAGAACCATTTCTTATTTATCTTTGTATCTCAGGGCCTATGAATTACACAGAGGAAGTAGGGCTGGATCTGTGATTTCATTGGGATAGAGGACTCCCAAAGGAGGAAGCTCCCTTTACTAACATAGGTCAGCATCTTTTCTATGATTTAGGATCTTAAAGAGTTGCCTGAAGCACTGAGAGGTTAAGTGATTGTCTAGAGCCACACAACCAGTGTAAGTCAAAGGCAGCACTTGAACCTTGGTCTCCCTGGCTTCCAGGTCAGCTCTCTATCCTCTTCTATGCTACCTCTCATTTATTGCTCATGATAGGTACTTTATACATTTGGGGAATGAATGTTTCTGAAGTCCTTCTTTTATGATTTTTTTTTCAAGGCGTACTACTGCCATTCCCTCGCTCTTGTTTTCATTGAGCACACCGTATTACAGAGGTATCATGAATATACACACCATTCCAGCACGCCAGCTCCTCTTCAGCCAGTCCTGCAACGTCTCAGTGCTTTATATGGATTCTGGTCTCTAAGTCGGCACATGGCCGTGCTCTATCAAGGTAAGAGTCTTCCCTACATTGTATGATACAAAAGCAGCAGTACCTCTGTTTTTTGCAAAAGAGAAATGTTCCCATTGAGAGGAAAGCCAGCAACATTCATTTTTGCTTAAGTAGATATTACCCACTTAACACTTTGGCCTTCTCTCAGTTTGATACTTAGACCTGAAGATAATATGGGCATTAAGTATAATAAAATTATAATTATACTCTAAAAATAACCAAACAGCAAAAGTAGAAGATAATCAGAGTGAGACTTAAAATGTAATAGATAAATGGAAAATCACCTTGCACCATAAACTCTTGCACATTAAAATTATTAGCTAGTAGTCTTCCTATTCAAGCAGCCATATAAAATTTTCTTGTAGTCTAGCCCAATCAACTTGGAATTTCATTACCACAACTAGCTTACCCTATTTTGCAGTCACAGAGATGTCACTGTGTATTCCTTCTTCAAAATAGTTTATTAAAAGTTAGTTGAGATTAACTCAATGGATTTCACAGTTTACACTTCTTCCAAGGAGTGCCCATTTATTATTTTAATTTTTCTCCTTAAACCTTTTTTAGTTTGTTTTTCACAAAAATATGTGTTTAAAATGAAACCCTTGAATAAAATGCATGTGATATATTTACACTCAGGTCATGGACCCCATTGGCAGTCTGGTGAAGCCTGTGGACCCTTTCTCAGAATAATTATTTTAAATACATAAAATAAAATACCTAGGATTACCAAAGAAATCAATTATATTGAAATACTATCTTTTTTATATATATATACACACACACACACACACACACACGCACACACACACATATACACACACACACATAGATTCATAAATTAACAAGCTTACAGATCCTAATTTAAGAACCTCTGATTTCAATTTTCATAGCCTTGAGGGAGAGATGTTGTTGGAAAAGAGCACTGAACTAGGAATCAGAAGACCTGGATTTTAATCCAGGCTATGGGACCTTATGAAAATGACTCAGCCTTTTTCAACCTATGAAAATTGGAAATAGTAAAACCTGCCTTACATCCCTAATAGGGTTTTTGTGAGGTTCAAATGCTGTACCAGATATGAAAACATAAAGCAGTATAAAAATAGAAGAGATTATTGATATGATTTCTAATAAAACAAAGACAAATAAAAGACAAGTTAAGTTACGGGAAGAATGAAGCTACTGGGCCAGGCCAATAACATTCTGCAGAATAAATAGTACTTTTTGTGGGCCTGATAGTTTAGAAAACTATTTTCAAGGTCACACGAATATTTTAAAACTACCCTCTTAATTTAGAACCGAGGACAGTTTCTAAAATGTAATCCATTCTTATCTGTGTTACTCTCTCTCTCTCTCTCTCTCTCTCTATATATATATATATATATGTATGTATGTATGTATGTATGTATGTATATGTGCTCTATGTACTTGCAGGTGGATATTTTTCTGGTGAACAAGCAGGTAAAATGATAAAGGATGCTATTTTGGACCTGTGTGCAAAGGTGAGTCCAAGTAACTTATAATGCTGAGTATTAATGTCATTATGTAGTAAATTTCAGTCAAATGGAACCCTCAATTCACCAGAACTTTGGACATATTTAACTTTTATGGGAAATTGACAACAAAACTACACAAAAGAATCTTAAATCAGTGGTTGAGTCACAGAACTGATGTTCGTGGAATATTCATACAATTGTAGAACATTAGGCCCTTAGAACAAGGCTGAGAGCCCTTAGAAGGGTACTTAGAACAAAGAATCTCAGAATGGGAAGGGTCCTTAGAACATTAGCTACTAGAGCTCGAAAGGGACCTTTGACATCATCTAGCGCGACCTTCCTCATTTACAGATGAGGGAACTGAGGCCCAGAGAGGTACATGGATGCACCTTGGGTCATTCAGTGTGGTTAGTGACACATCTAAGGCAGTACCTAAGTCTCCCAGGTCCTCAGCAGGTACTTTTCGGGAGATCATGAGGGAGTTGAGACTATTTTCAGACCAAACTCTTTCATCCTCTGCATGAAATATCATAGGACGGTGGGCTTGGAAGAGATTTTAAGACTGTAGCCCAACGTTCTCTTGTATAGGAGAGAATTAAGACTTAGAGAAAAGAGGTTACTCAGCCATGGGGACACAGCAGTTTCATAGCAAAGATGCAATTTTAATTCAGGTGTCCTGATTCTGTCTTCAGTGTTCTTATTACGATAAGAAGCTTTGCCCCCCTTCTACAGTCATGCTTAATTTATTACCCTTTTGATGATATACTCTCAGGCAGTGCAATTTATTTAGTTCTCAAAATTAAGTTGTTTTCACTGTACTTTATACTGAGGCAGAAAAAATGTATTAATTTAATTAATGTATTAATTTAATTGATGTATTAATAAAAGAAATTAAATAAATAAAATAAAAATAAAATAAAGATTTTGAACATAGTTTTGAAACAAGGGTCTCAATTAGCCTCAAAATTCAATTAACCAAAGTATCCAATTTCCAGAACAAATTTTTACTCTATTATCATTTTATAGTGATGAGTAAAAATGAAAATAAATAGCTACCAACACTTTTTTTTGGGGGGGTGAGGTGCTTGGGGTTAAGTGACTTGCCCAGGGTCACACAGCTAGTGAGTATTATATATCTGAGGTCGGATTTGAACTCAGGTCCTTCTGACTCCAGGGCTGGTGCTCTATCCACCGTGCCACCTACCTGTCCCCCACCACTTAATTTAATGCCATTTTAAAAGTTCTTTGGCAAGACATCCCACAAGTTTTTCATTCCTTTAAGGTACTTATCATGAAAATAAAGAGTGATTTCTTCATGTTCAGTTTATGCCTGGGTCCTAGACATGAATAAATATGTATATACTACTCATGACTGTAAAGAATATGCCATTTGGCCAAATATAGATTTTACTTCTTTCTCAAATTGTTAAAAAAAAAAAGTTAGTGTAGCCTATACTTAGTAAGAAAATGTCTATGAAAAAATCTCTGAATTGAAGAAAAAGTCGAAACACAATTTTTATAATAAACATACAATTTTATATGTCTTATGAAATTACTTTTTGGTTAATGCTCATGTTTTTGTTTTCCTTAAAAAGATTTCATTTTAGAATCCTAGACAGTATTTGAGATAACCTTACATCCCAATTTATACCCTATAGTGTTTTGTTTACATAAAAATTAAAATAGGAAGAAATTTTTAACTTTTCATGTTATATACTTGAGAATAACTCTTTAAAAAGAAATATGTAGGCAAGGCAAATACAATTTTGAGCTTTCTATTGGGATTTTTTTAAGCTCTTTTGTATTGATATTTAATTAATTAATTCCCTTATGAATTAGGCCATGGTCTTGGATTCTGTTTTTACGTGGACCAGTGAGCTTTATTATATTTCATAGCCTTAGGCTGTTCCTCTAACTCCCAACTTCCTATCTTGAAAACTTGTGCTCTTGTAAGTGATAAAGGAGACAAGACAACGTGCTGTGTGTGACTCAGTGAAAAATCCATCCCCACTGCTAGAAAAACAGATGAGAGGAAGCTCAGTTGCATCTCTTTATAATGAAAAAGACAATATTTATTTGCTATTTTTAGTCTAAGTGTGTCTGTCCATCAAAAATAAAATGTAAACTTCTTAAATCTTAGTATAAAAGTAAACAATGTGAATATCTAATTTTATTCCATTTATTACATTATGCATTACGTAATTTGTTGAATCTTTTGAATTATTATGTACTAACTTGGCAGTTAAAATCTAGAGCTAAAAATTTATTCATAACCCCACTTTTTCTATTAGAGCAATTCATTTTAATCGTATAATAAAATATTTTTAAATAATGTTTTTGCATTTAAAGGGAATTCCTATATATAGGTTTTATTTGTCATCTTGAGTAATAGTGTACATAATGACTGAGTAATAAAACATTACTGAGGATCATGGGACATTTCTTTTTATTACTTTACCAGTTGGTCATAAACATCCTCTCTTGCATTTTTCTTGATGTATTTTTTCTAACTGAAACAGAAAGTGACCTGGCAAAATAAGGGCTACTAGAGAGACAAGGCTAGGAAGACAGTTTTTAAAAAATTAATGAGTTGCAAAGAAATCATTTTTATGAGTGTACCTGGCCTAAATGAAGCTAACTAAAGGACATCATGGTAAAAATATTAAAATGCAAGCTAAAGGAATCTGTTATCCAGGCCAATAAAAAGATAATGTGTTAGTAATAGATCTGTCTGTGACTGCTTCGGTTGCTGGTGGGTTGTGGCAACAACTGTGCTGCTGCTCTTGGGCTCCCTGGTAACCATAGAGACCCCAAGGAGCTGCCAAGTTTATGAGCTTTGTTTTCAAACAGCTGAAAGATGATGCAGTTGCCCTGGTAGATGTCATCGCTCCTCCGGACTTCATTCTGAACTCACCAATTGGCAGGGCCGATGGCGAGGTAAAGAGGAAATCTTTCTTTGTTTTGGAAAAATAACTTATGGAAATAGGAGGATGAGGAAATTGGGAACCTTCGAGGCTGGCCACAGCTGTTCTCCAAGAGAGTGTAAGGGATGCTATCTGCATCAGTGGAGGGAATGTTCACACTGATGAAGTCATGGGTGGTTGAAGTCTTGTGCCCATGCGAGGCTGTTCTTGGTGTCCTCCAGGATCCCTTGCAGCCCTTAAGTCCTACAATTCCAAGCAGAGATAACAAAAACATGACCTAACAACCAGTGACCAAATCATTACTGGATGTGGTTTAAAAAAAAACAAACCTGGTGAAATTAATGATTTAACCATGTGCTCTTGGGTGAGGAGTTCATATTGAATACAAATCCAGCTATATTTGATTTTGCAGAGGATCATTAAATCAAGGGTAATGCTTCAAATTGTGAAGTAAAATATTGAGTTTGTAACATGTCAAGAAAGTGAAAGACTAAGCCCATGTCTATAAGGAAATGAAAAATAAAGAAAATTGGTGAGGGAGAGAATACCTCGAGGAGAGGCTGATGAATACATATTTAGGGGGAAAGAACCTTAGATGTTATTGAAGGTAGATAACAGGTAGGGGCCTGCATATGAGTAGTAGTTTCTCATAAGCAAAAGTTGTCTAGACCAGCCACATGCCTAACATGCTATTTAAATTGATCTTTTCTGGCTCATTTTAAAAAAAAAGAAGTTTCGTTTAGAAAGTTTATTAGTAGCAAATCAAGTAACTCTTGCAATGTTTAAGTCTCAGTTTTCCCTGAAAGCTTTTTTTACATGTCAAACTAGACTGATTGACAGCTGACCCTTGGGAATGATGTGGAATGAATAAAATCCAGATAAAAGACCCAGTGTAGATCCATCCTCTCCTTGGGTCTTAGTTCCTTCAGTTGTAAAATGTGGCTTTTGGAATGACCTCTCAGGTTCCTTCCAGCTCTAGTCTCTGAGCCTGTGATTCTGAGAAGAATGTAGTGAAGCCAAGCCTGAGTTTGTAACCCTGCTGTCTTACCTGGCCCATGCTGTGTAGAGAAAACATGCATGACATAAGAACCATAAAATTAGGTTTAGATGAAGGATGCCTTTCTCCAGTGGACATAACTGGGATCTGATGATACCTATACTTTTTACTGATAAAATTAATGTGTCGAACATCCATGAGAGTCTGTATGAAGAGGGGCTGCTGAAACAGACTCTCAAAATCACACATTCTCCATGCTGGAAGGGACCGCACAGGCCATCTAGTCCAACTTATAAATAACAAGAATACCTTCTGCAGTGTCCCCAGCAAATAGTTATCCAGACTTTGTGCAAAAACCTGGAAAGTGGCCCATTCCACTTTGGAGTAGTTGTAATTATTAGGAAGTTTTTCCCTGACACCAAACCTAAATATGTTTCTCTGCAATTTCTACCCATTGCTACTAGTTCTGTCCTATGGAACCATACAGTACAAACTGAATCCCTCTCTCACATGGTACCCCTTCAGATACTTGAAGACAACTAACATATACCCCCCTTAAGTCTTTGCTTGTTGAGGTCAAGCTTGATTCGCACATGGCATCATCTCAGGTCTTGTCATCCTGGTTGTGTTCTGGCTGACCACTCTTCTCCTTATCAGTATCCTGTACCCCAAACTGAATGTAGTATTTCAGATATGTCCCACGCAGGGTAGTATACAGTGGAATTTATTACCTCCCTTTTCTGAACATTATGATGAAGATCACATTATTTTGGGGGGCTGACATCATACTGTTGCCATCTTAAGCTTGTGGTCTACTAAAATCCCCAGATCTTTTTTCTAATACAATGTTACACCTTTTCTATCTTATATTTGTTGTTGTCTTCATATGCCATATTTTGTAATTTCATTTCAATCTTTGTTTTTACTAAGGCCAAAGATTTTTTATTAATAACATTTAAAAATTCTCTTAATAAACTGTTAGTGCCCAATTTTGCATGCTTTCAACAAAAAATTGAGTTGGGAGGTGGGAGTTACTTATACATTCAACCATCTAAACAATGTGTTTCTGTTTTTGCAGTTGTATAAAAACCTCTGGACCACTGTCCTTCAGGGAAGCAAAGTCCTAGAGAGGGCATCATGGTGGATGGAATTTTCTACCTATAAACCCATCATAGGAAGTTTGAAATCAAAACTTTAAGTCCAGCATAAATGCCAAGGCACCATTTAGACATTTATCCTTGAGCATCTGCATCATTTCTACCTACAAAGATCCTGGACACAGAGGGCTATCACTCTGGCATCCTGTTTGATTACTTCCAGAAGACTTTGAACGGTACCACCATTTTCTGGAACAGCACATCTACTCTTACCAATCAATTCCAGATGTAGAAGCATCAATCTTGTTTAATGGTATTTGCTTCCCTTGCATGGTCAAGGGATAACATATAATTCACCGTTATAATTCTCATGCTTATCATGATTTGCTATATAAAATGAAGAGAAGGTAAAGTATATCAACCTTGATGATGGAATAGACTATTTAGATAATTTGAACTTCATATCTCCATTTTCATATTTGAATCTCTTGAGCATAGTCACTCATTAAGTGCCTTTTTTGTGAAATTTATTGTACTAATTGCTAAGGAAGATAACAAATATAAAGAAGACAAAGTCTTTCAAGGGGCTTATAGTCTAATAGAATCTGATAAAATATTTATATAGATAAATACAATTCATATTAGAATATGGTACAGATAAAGGAAGAATTCAAAATGTTAGGAAATAAAATTAAGAAGACGTCACTTCCAGGCAGGGGAAATCAATGAAGACTTAATGGAGGAGGAAGCATTTGAAGAATATAAATGGGTGGAGGTAGCAAAGGAGGACATTCCATGTAAGCAAAGACTTGGAAGGTGGAAAGCATGGGGTATGTGCCTTGCCCAGAGCTGGCGCTCAGCAAACATTCATTCCTTGTCTGGGGATTCTACGCCATGGATTTCTTGAATTGATCTGCAAATGTCTGTTTCTCTAAGGACTTCATTGTGCCATTTGATATCTGCTCTAAATCCAGATTAGCTTCCTTTACATAATCATTGCAATTCAATTTCCTTAATCTGGACTAAATGAAGGAACACGAAGTCTGAATTATGGATTTGGGGGAGCATTGTGGTTTCATGTCTTTTAAGCATTTAACTGGAACTAAGCACTGAGAAAGTGTTGTTAAGAAGAAAGAAGAAATGTAGACCTCAGTTGCTAGATCATTGCTAATTTGAGACATTCATTATATCCATTTGTTCTCTTTGATGTTACACCTGTTCCTCCTCTTCCTCGGGTGAAATAAATCTACTACAATTTTGTTTATAGTATTCATTTGCTTAGTAACCTGTTTTCCATAAGTAACACAAGGGTAATTTCAGGCCAGGTTCATTTTCTATAAATCCTGAATTTTATTATTTTTTTTAATTTTTAATTAATTATTTATTTACTTTGGCTAGGCAGTAGGGTTAAGTGACTTGCCCAGGGTCACACAGCTAGTAAGTGTTCTGTGTTTGAGGTCGGATTTGAACTCAGGTCCTCCTGAATCCAGGGCTGGTGCTCTATCCACTGCACCACCTAGCTGCCCCTATAACTCCTGAATTTAATAGAATTGGAATGATTGGAGTCCAACTGTACATAATTCTAATTAAATCTGATCAAAATTGAACAATGATAAAGCAAGTTTAAAATGTTAATTAGATAACACTTTTTTTTTAGTTCCTGCAGCTTTATTCATTCTTGTATTTATTTGAGGCATTTCTTGGACATCATTGTATCTGCAATAAATAGTGTTGATTAGGTTCCTAGCTAAAAACTAGGGTCCTTCCTGGATACAGGTTAGACTCAGTCTTCTATTCAAGTGGGAGTTGCAATTTATGTTCCTTTTTAACTTGGTTTTTTAAAGTATGCTTTTTCAAAATCCCATAGATTTTAGATGGAGAGTGTTAGATTACAAATCATCTAGTCCACTCTCATAATTGTATAGAAGAGGAAACTGAAGCCTGGAGGGTACAAAGGAGTAGAGCTGGGACTTAGCGCTTAGGACTGCTTGGTGAACAAAGCACGCTCATTTCATTTTTAAGCGCTTTGAAAATCAGTCTCCTACTTTTAGCAAAATTACAAACCATTCCCAAGACTAGATTTCTCTGACCTAATAAGACTGAAGAATATCCAGTGAAAGGCAAGCAGGATAGTGAGAGGGCTCAAAACCATGCTGGGATACATTGAAGGAACTAGGGATGTCGAGCCTATTAAGTCCATTTTCTCACTTGGGTCAATATTTTTTAAATGAGCATCTGACATAACGTCATTATCGTCATGGGGTGGAGGGTACAAGCACTATCCTCACAGCCACCTAGGCTCACATCCTAGGTGTCAGCTTGAATCCTCTGACTCATGCCCTTTCCCCCATATTAGTCATCAGTTCCTATCTGCTCTCATAAGACCTCTCTTTTAGACCCCCTTCTCTCCTCTGACACTGCCACCATCCTAATGCAGGGCCTCACCATGGCACACCTGGACTATGGAAATAGACTTCTGATTGGTATCCCTGTCTCAAATCTCTCTCCACTCAGCTGTCAAAAACTTTGGTGACTCCCTATCACCTCCAGGATCAAACATAAAATCCTCTCTTTGGCTTTTAAAGCCCTTCATTACCTGGTCCTTTTCTACCTTTCCAGTCTTCTTATACTTTACACCTCCTCATGTACTCTACGATTAAGTGATCCTGGCCTCTTTGCTGTTCTTTAAACAAGATTGTTTGTTTCCCATGCCTAGAACGCTGCACATTAGCCCTTAATATTTTTAAATTTCAATTTGTTGAATTGCCACTGAAGACTGATCACAGTGTCCTTATCATTATTCTGGCTGCCAGTCATGGAATCTTACACCTCATGACCTCAGAAGAGTCACAATTTCAGGTGACCAGAAGGCAATGGAAAGATGCATGGTGGGTGTTTGGCTGCACATCTCACCCAAAGTGACTTACATGTAAGGAGTGACATAAAGGATACTATCTAGTCTATGTAAAGAAAGGAAGGAAAGACTGGTCATGTAGCAAGTGTGTTTGTGCGTGTATGATGTGTGTGTGTGTGTGTGTGTGTGTGTGTGTATGGAGCTTAGCAGGTGTTAAGGATGCAGTTATTGGAGATCCTCTGACATATACTCATCACTGCCCAAGACCTTTGGGGCAAATTGCTCATGAAGAGCTTATAGTATAGTCTACTGCACAAGACTTTCCCCAGGGACACACATACAACCAAGGAAATGTAACGTAATCATACAGAGAAACCACCAAGGTTCTAGCAGACTATACTGCTTCACCCACAATAGGGTGTCACTCTGGCCTTTTCGTTTTCTCCCTGACAGCTCAGCTCTGCAGTCTCAGGACCAATCTAGTAACACCATCCTAGCCACCTGGTGATATTAAGCTTGTATAAGCTGGCTACAGGCAGCCTCAGAGGGAAATAGAGATTGGTGCTCTCATCAGGAGGATTGGCAGTAGCTACTGCCTTCCTGATTATGGTAACACCATTGAAACAGTGGTTCGTGTTCACACATCCCATTCCTTCCTGGTCTCTCAAATAAACACATCCACATTCTAGGTTTTTTTCTCCCCTTTGTGAAAAAAATAAGCACTAGTATAGTCTTATAAGGGCAGGATTCTTAAGGGATAAAAACAGGACTTGAGAATTATTGTTCAATTTATTCTCCATGTGGTTTTGTTTGAAGTTCTGTGCAATCATTTTGCTAGGATTCTTGTCAGTTTTTAAGATCTCTCTGAATTTCGTATCTCCTCATTAATAAGCTTATGCAAACAAAATGAATGCTTAGAAATATGTTCCTTTATTATGATCCTGAGGGGAAGTTTGTGGGTTTGGATTTTTCAAGAACACATTAACCACAGGTCGGACAAGTGAGCTGGACTAGATGAATGAAGTTGGAATTAATTCAACAATGAATTATAAAACTCCTTAATAGGCAGAAGCTCCTATGTTTGGAACTTTAAATACAAAGATGTGAAATGCGTGACACCATTTCTTATCTTTGTGGAGTTTGTAATATACCTAGAGATGTGTGTAAATAAGTTGTGTGTGTAGAATCAGGTAGTAACAGCTGAGTGGTGCAGTAGATAGAGTGATGGGCCTGAAAGACCTGAGTTCAAATGTGGCCTCAGACACTTCCTAGTTGTGTGATCCTGGGCAAGTCACTTAACCCCATTTGCCTTAGTTTCTCATCTATAAAATGAGCTGGAGAAGGAAATGGCAAACCACTCCAGTATCCAAGAAAACCCCAAATGGAATCACGAAGAGTCAGACACAACGGAAACAGGGAGGTCCAGGGATTTATGGATGATTACCAGTTCTGGAGAGCATTAGCAATCTTTGGTAAATGAGTCTTGAGATATAAGGGAATAATTAGTAATCTATTCTGAGGTCAATCAGTCAATCGATAAATAAACATTAAGCACCAACTATGTGCCAGGCACTGTGCTAAGAACTGGGTTTACAAAAAAGGCAAACCAATGGTCCCTGTGTGGAGGAAGGTCCCAGTCTCATGGAGGTCAAAGCCAGACGTCCACAAAAGCTGCAAGAGAAGGGAGGAGGGCACAAGCTACATCCGGGAGCAGAGAGCATAAAGCCAGCTTAGGACCAGGGCCGGGGGAAGGAGAGATATCTCATCTGGAGTGAGATGGGAAAAACACCTTGATCAAGGCGAGTTTGTTTGTTGGAGACTAACTGTTTCAAGGAAGGGATCATCTCAAGAAAGCATCTCTTAGTAAGAGTAGTCTGCTAGTAATCGTGATAGAAGATATCGTCCTGTTTGATCCATATAACAACACTCTGAGGTAGCACACAATACAATGAATTATCCCCACTTTATAGATGAGGAAACTGAAGGTCAAAGAGGTTCAAGTCACCTAACTTGATCTGGTGGACTTCCAGCTGTTTGGTGCCAGGGAAATGATAAGATGGTGGTACTGTCAACAGGAAAAGAAAAATTCACAAGAAATATTTATGGCAGCTCTTTTTGTGGTGTGGCAAAAAATTTGAAATTGATAGGAATGCCCATCAATCAGGGAATGGCTAAACAAGCTATAGTATATGGATGTAATGGAATACTATTGCTCAGTAAGAAATGATGAGCAGGAGGATTTCAGAAAAACCTGGAAAGATATATTAACTGATGCATAGTGAAGTGAGCAGAACCAGGAGAACACTGTACACAGTAACAGCAATATTGTGCAATGACCAACTTTGATAGACTTGGCTGTTTTCAGCAGTATGGTGATCCAAGACAGTTACAAAGACTCATGATGGAAAATGCTATCCACATCCAGAGAATGACCTGATGGACTCTGAATGCAGATTGAAGCATGCTATCTTCACTTTCTTGTGTGTGTGTGTGTGTGTGTGTGTGTGTGTGTGTGTGTGTGTGTGTTTCTTTTGGACTGTTTCTTCTTTCACAACATGACTAATACGGAAATATGTTTTGTATGATTGCACATATATAACCTACATCAAATTGCTTATCATTTTAGGAAGAGGGAAGGAGAGGGAGGGAGAAAAATTTGGAACTCAAAATTTTGCAAAAATGAATGTTAAAAATTGCCTTTACATACAATTGGAAAAATGAAATACTATTTAAAAAGAAGAAAAAGAAAAGAGTTACGAGGAGGCCCATGTGACCAAATCATGATAATTTATATTTATTTACAAAGGGCTTTCCAATTTCAAAACATTTAGATGCTTTACCTAATTTTGTTTTTCTTACAAAACCGCATGAGGTGGGTCATGTGAGCTATTTGAGGATCAAAAGGCTTGCAGCTACAAGTGTCTTAGAGGTCATCTAATCATCTCACTTTTCGGATAGGGAAACAGGCCCAGATAGGATAGAGAAATTGCCCGTGGTCCCACAGTGAGTGACTTAGGATTCAAGCTCAGGGCCCCTTACCTCCTTCTCTGACTCTTCACCCTTTCCTTTTTCTTCCCTTCCCTCCCCTCCTTTCCCCTTTCCCGTCACTTCCCCCCTCCCCCATCCCCATCCTTCCTTCCATCCTTCTTCTTCCCTTCCCTAGCCTAGACCATGCCGTGGTGGAGACGGACAAGGAGGCCACGGAGCCCGCCAAGGCAGACGTCATGGGGCTGTACCAGGACATGTTCTCCACAATGGCCACGTACCTAACAGGCGAGCTGACAGCCACCAGTGAAGATTATAAACTTCTGGAAAATATGAACAAACTGACTAGCTTGAAGTATCTAGAAATGAAAGATGTTGCAGTAAACCTAAGTGGAAACCTAAAGGACTTAAACCAGAGATATGCGGCCCT